TATCCCGCACCTCTGTGTAACACAACCAGGGCAGCTTACAACTTTAAAATATGCATTCACATCCCACAATCCCACCCCCTTAAAATAAATAAATAAATAAATAAATAAATATTCAATTCACCTGACTTATAGCGATCCCATTAATTTCATGGGATTTTCTACTTCTTCTTCTTCTTGTGTGCCTTCAGATTGTTTCTGACTTTTAGCAATCCTGAGATGAACCTATTGTGGGGTTTTCTGGGGCTGAGAGTTTGTAACTTGGTCAAGGTCACCCAATGGGTTTCCATGGCCAAGCAGGGAATCGAACCCTGATCTCCAGAGTCGTAGTCCAATGCTCAAACCATTGCACAACATTGTCTCTGTTTCTTTGTGTTCAGAAGAACTTGAGAAAACAGACTTCTTCATCAGTATCTTGAGGTATGCTGAGAGCACAATTGAAGCTAAGTGTTCTTATACAGAAGCACACATAATTGCAGGTTTTAGACCATCCTTGATAATACAGTACTTACCTGGAGGGGAGATTAATTATAGATATAAACCTGATTGTTGCACCAACCTGGCACACATACTGAGAACTTATTTCTATTTATTTTCCAAACTGGGGTGATTTTTTCACATGTCATGGAAATTTGGGATTTTTACAAAATGTAAAAGTACTATAATAATAATAATAATAATAATAATAATAATAATAATAATAATAATAATAATTAATAATAATAATAATAATAATAATAATAATAATAATAATAATAATAATAATAATAATAATAATTTTTATTTGTATTTCCTGCCTCTCCCTGCAGATTGAAGCGGGATACTTTTACACGGTGCTGAAAACCTGAAATTGATATGCCGCCATAATATGCACAGATGTTCCTCGAGAAATAACATTGCTTGATCATTGAAATAAATTAATGGCTTGGTCAAGAAGGCAATGTAGTTCTGCTCACCTTGCAACACAAGAGACAGAGGCTCTCAGTGACACAGTAGAAGACTACTGTACAACATAGAAGCACAGACCCATAGAGAGGAAAGGGATTTCAAGGGCCATCTACTTCACCTACGTGTGGGAATCTACTGGAAAAGCACTACTAAGAGGTGCCATCTGACCTCTGTTTGAAAACCTCCAAGGAAGAAAAGTCCACCACCTTTTGAGGGACTCCATTCCACTGAAGACCAGCCTGAA